TAACGTTAAAGTAACGCTTTTCAAGAAACTTTTTTTCAACGTTAAGTTGCGACTCCTATGCAACGCTTTTTAAGTAACGCTTTTTCAACGTTTAGTTGCGACATTTTTTTAACGTCTTTTAGTAAGGATTTTTCAACGTTGCGCTACAACGTTTAATCAACGTCTCTTTAACAACGTTACATATCTTTGCAAAATCGATTACTTTGTCTACGTTTCCGCAACGTCTTTTGCGATCGGTTTTCAACGTTGATTCAACGCTGACATGTTTGTTGGGTATATATATATATATATATATATATATATATATATATATATATATATATATATATATATATATATATATATATATATATATATATATATATATATAGTATATATATATATATATATATATATATATATATACATATATATATATATATATATATATATATATTTATATTATTATTTTATAAACATCAATAAATACGATTTTCTCTCGATACTAAACTTATTTTTTATTTTTTAAATGAAATTTTCGCTGGATTGTTGTGACCAGCGTCTTCAGCTTAAAAGATTTTGTTTGTTTTTGTTTATATGTTATTTTTAAACGGCAATTTTATTATATGTCAATGGAATGGTTTTGTCTTTTTCTGACCTAAGTGCACTAGAAATGGTGTCCAGAATTTTGTTGACACATATTGTCCCTCATCTAAATTGATACCACTTTGTTGAGGGGCACATTGGTAGTACTGTATTTCAAGCGCCTCGCGAACTTTCCTATCAAACTTTTTGTTATTGACTTTTAGAGTTCTGCAACTGTCCCAGTTAATTTGTTGTGCACTATGTTTCATGTGTGTGGCTAATGCTGATCTTTCTGTTTTATTTCCTATTGTACTGTTTTTGTGTTGTTGCATGCGTGTTTTTATTTGCATTTTTGTTTCACCAATATACTTTTTATTACAATGGCACTTAATAAGGTAAACTCCTGGGTGGCTGTTCCTTTGTAGTTTGGATTTATTTCTTGAAGTTAATATTGCTTCTATGTTAAAGTTTGATTTAAAGACCGTTTTATATCCTGCCTTCCTAAACACTTTACGCAATTTGGGAGACAATATTGGTACCCAAGGTAATGAAATTGTTGGATACGTACTGGTGATGTTGTCAATGTTTTTAGTAGTCACTAGAGGTTTTTTGTACTTTCGTTTTATTTCTTTTATGATTTTTATAAGATTGGAATATTTGTAACCATTTTCAACAAATACTTGAATAAGGAATTTCAGTTCATTTTCTATATGTTTCTGACTGCATACATTAAATGCTCTATGTACAAAACCCTTAAATATTCCATTTAAAATTTGTGGGTCATGGTTTGATGTTGCCTTAACTTGAATGTTAGCAATTGCATTTTTTCTGTGTATTCTAAATTCGTATTTGCCATTTTTGTTATTTATTATGCATAAGTCTAGAAAATTTATTGTTTTTTTGTCATTTTCAAATTCGATTGTATATTGTATTTTTGGATGCTGTTGGTTAAGTATTGTCTTGAATTGATTAGCCTGGGCAATGTTAGGGACTCTAGCATGGCTGTCATCTACAAATCTATAAAATGATTTTATGTCAATAATCGGGTTGGTTTTCAGCGCTATATTAAGCGCTCTTTTTTCAAGATTTTGAAGAAAAGATTCAGCTGAAACTACCATAAAAGAAAGACCTATTGGACCTGAATTTTCAAGTTCATGTATTTCATTGTTCCATAAAAAGTATGGTCGGTATAAACATAGTTCTATCAGAGTTTTTATTTCTTTTATATTTAATTTTGTCATTTTTTTAAAATTATCGCTCACTTCCAATATACTTATGAGTACATCAGTTGCTTCTTTAAGTGGAATTGACGGGTATAAGTTTATAACGTCTAATGATATCTGAATTTCGTAACTGGATATGTCCCATGATTTTGCTTTTTCTACAAATTGTTGCGAATTTTTTAATCGAGTTGGGTTTTCATTTAATATTGGTTGTATTAGTTTTACTAAGTAATTTGAGATTCCGTAGTTTTGTGTGTCTATTGTAGATACTACAATTCGCATTGGATAAGATTTTTCAGGTTTATGTGCCTTCACTACACCAAACATACGAGGTAGTATTGGGTCACTGGGATAATTTTGCTGATATTCATCTTTTGTGAACCGACCTTTTTTATTTAATTTCGATAGTTGAACTTTGATTTTTGAACTTGAAACGAATGATTATGAGGCCGTTAAAAGAATCACTGAAAAAGCACGAGAAAATATGTTCGTGAAATCAAAAGACAGATTAATTAAAAAATTCAAACTTCTTCAAAATCAACGCGTTAAGCGAATATCTCATTCAATTTAGACATCAACATGCGTGCATGTTGATATCTAACTTATTTTACTAAGCTCATTGATGAAATTAAAAAAAAAAAATTGTATTAAGGTAAATACAAACACTTTTACGAGTCAGACAATTAAACTGTATTTACTTTTAAAATATTTGTAATAGTTTAGCATTCAGTCTAGAGACTTATTATTAAGAAAACTGCTATGCTTGAAATATATTTCATGCATGTGCTAGGGCACAAATCTGCGTTGTAAATTTTTACTTTTATATCTAAGTAAATTGCAGTCTTTAACATGCTGATTGTGCAGCATACAGATTTCCTTAAAATTAACTTTTCAAAATGTTTCTATTTTTTTAAGTAAATCATTTGACTTTTATTATTGTAATTTTATGAGTTAGAATGGTATTTGAAAATCTAAAATGAAATTAAAATTTTCTAATATTTAACGAAGTTAAATTTTAGTTTGCAAAATTTACTGCACAACTTATTTTTATAAACGGCATTTTTATTGTTTAAAATATGTGTTCTTAACTGCATTTTTGTACTTCTTGGAAAATATTGTATGCTTTTGTTTTATTGTGAGGCAACTTGTTTTTTTTTTCAGTTAGAATTAATAATGAAATGTGAAAATTTTAAATAATAATTTGAGGATGACAATGTTTGTTGAAGAAATCCTATGACATATATGATACAAATAAAAAATTCAAAAAATATAAATAATTGTCCATTTTTCTTTTTATCCTAAAGTTCTACCCTGATATTTTGTTTCTAGTCTTATAAAAAAAGCGTCTTAGCTGCTGAACCATATACTATGATAAAAAGAAATGCTTAACTAAATAGAGTGTCCGACGAAGAATGATAATAAGTCACCTACAAGGCAAACGAAAACAACCCACATGCTATTATAATTTACATTGAATCAAATTTATTACATAACAACCGCTACCTAGCTAACACACTTACATTGGGCCAACGTATGTAAAACCATCGCAAAAGTCAGCTCTTTTTTCCAATACAAAACCAACATTAACACAATAACATTTGGTTAATGATAAAATTATTAACGACGGAACTAAAAACATCCGGCAAATTTACATTGGTCAAAATGTATGTAAAAACATCGTAAAAAATTAATTGTTTTAACGATCTAAACCCAACGTTGATACAATGTATGTATTTTGACGTTGATTCAATGTATATAAATCAACGTTGATCCAATGTATGTAAATAGATTGCAAAAAATTGATTTTTTTCACGATCTAAACCCAATGTTGATCCAATATATGCGACCAAATATTGCAATTGCGAAATTTCTTAATTATCCGTAATTATTAAAATATAAAACAACAATTAACACAAACATGATTTAGTCCAGATGAAGCCAGAGTAAACTTTGATAGAAATCTGTTTAGAAGAAGGTGACAAAGATTTTAGGTCAGCAAAAACATCAGCTAAAACTCTGCAAGACGTTTTGTACCATGTTGTGAAATTAAAGGACATACTAATTCAAACCCATAAATTATGCATTTTTGCAATCACAGCTGCTTATTATCAAGATATTAAAATAACATCTGAGTACAAAAAGAACAAAAAGTTGAGAAATCTGTGTTAAGCAGTTGGGAAAAATTAGCTATCTTCTCCCCCCTTGTCCTACCTGGAAATTCCCCACGCAACGTCACTGTTAATCAGAGTGGTAAATCCTTAGCTGATTATAGTATTCCTACATTAGATCAGTTTTTGATAATGTACCAGAAAATGTTGACGAAGATGTTTAGGTATTTTTTGTATGAACACCAACAAAATACAATATATATTTATTGGTATAGATATAGCTTTCTCTCGTTATATATTATACAGCAATTACTATAACTAGCAACTACAAGCGTGCAACTCAACTATTTTTACAGATCGCATGGCGATCACGTGACACAAATAAGAGCAAGTATAAAACTAATAACACGCGATAGGCATTGAGCGCTATCGCAACACTCCCCCCGACAAAGAGCCGCCTACACAAAGCGGAACTAGTCCGTCGTCCACAAATTGTATATTTAGTTTGTTTAATTGTTCTGTACCTCATTTAATAGGGAATAGCTTTTCACAGGTCTGTTAACTTGCTGACAGGTATTGTTATGTATATATCTCACTATTGCACTTCTTATCTCATTGTTTTTTAAATATTTGATGTCTTCAACTATGCCAACCTTCCAAAGAATACGTGATTTAGGGGAATCGTCAATTAACACAACATCGCCCTTCTTAATAATAGCTGAACCATTTACTTTGGAAAATTTATGATGTTCGCGCAGATTCTTTAAGTATTCGTCCTTCCATCTTGATTGGAAATGCGTTAACAACATGTAAAGATGCTTATTACGTTGATTTGTATCTGTATTATAATCATTTGATGATAATTCAGGTATGACTTCCAAATTCAACTTTCTCCCAAAAACTAAATGATTTGGTGTTACCATCTCATCTCCAGGCTCTTCATAACTGAACGTTAAAGGTCTATATTTAATAAAACATTTTACTTTTATAAGTACGGTTAACAACTCTTTATATGTTATTTTTGAATTAGATAATATCTTTTTTAAACAGCGTTTTGTAGACCTAACGAGTCTTTCAAATATTCCGCCCCACCAGGAAGCCGCTGCTAGATTAATCTCCATTTGATTGCCATAGATGCAACGAATGCTTGTGTTTCTTCGGATGTAAACTGTGTGCCGTTGTCTGATACTATCTCTGAAGGCACCCCTCGCCGCGCAAAAAATCTTCTAAGTCCACGAACGGCACTTGTTGCAGAGCAATCAGGAACTAAATCTAAAATAAGAGAACGAGAACTACAACATGTGAACAAAAATATCTATACTTTTTTATTATTAACAGTTGAATTGTATAAAGATTTTACATACAAAGGACCAGCATAATCCACCCCAGTGTATTTAAAAGTGTAGTCATAATTTAGTCTACTTACTGGTTAGGGTGGAGACGGAGGGTAAAAATATGGTTTCCCTTCAAACTTTTTACAAATAAAATATTTTTTAATTATACTACTTATAAGTGACCTTGCCTGAGGAACCCAGTTTCAGTTTCCTTAACACCATTGTGTTTTACGAGAACGTGAGCTTACTGGATAACAAGCTTCGAAAAATAACTTTCGCGAGGTAAGAAAATTGGAAATTTAATATTAAACGATAATGGTGCATTTTCCATTCGCCCATGACAACAAACAATACCATTCACTTGTTTAAGTCTCAAATCTTTACATAGTTGTTTAAATAAAGATTTTGTTAAAACGTCACGCTGGATGTATTTTATCCATAAAATATTTGCATAGTCTAATTCTTCCGTTGATAATATCGAAGAATTCAACGGAATTCATTTATTAATTCTTGCTTTAAAATTTTTAAAAATTCGTAATATCCATGCTGTAACTCGCAATAATTCGTAATATCCATGCTGTAACTTGCAATAATTTATTGTACGTATTAAACTTAAATAGAGGTATACCTAAATGGTTAATATACCATCGTGGTAAACTTATACTACCTGCTAACCGCAAATCATTAATTATTATTTGCCATTCTAGCAAATTTTCTTTTTCAAGATAACTATCCCTACCTATATTAGAAATGTTCAACTTTTGAAATAGTAACTTTAGCTTAACAACAATGGGATTTATAAGTCCTAAAGGATCATAAATACAAGCAATAAAAATAAAAACGTCTCTTTTTCTTGGTATGCTAATAGCAATTTTCATTAAACTTTCAAATCGATAAATTAAAGTGTCATTTCGTTTTTTCCAGATAATACCAAGAACTTTCGTTTCATCTTTTTTTTAGATGGCTCATCTTGAAAAGTGCTTTCTAAATCTTTACAATTAGATTCAAATTTCCGAAGATTGAATCCACCTTCTTTTAATAACAACTTACACCATTTGTAAAAGTTAATGCATTGACTTACTTCATCAAAACAAGAATTTACATCGTCAACATAAAGACTATTTACAAGTTTGTTAACATATGACGAATTACTTCTTAAATATTGTTCCAAATGTAGTTTTAACGTTCCATTAAATAAAAATGGAGACGACGTTACTCCAAACAACACTTTACATAGACGATATGATATTAATTTTTGATTTGATAAATTTTTAACAGATATATTATTAATGTCATTATACCACAAAAATCTAACATAATCTCGACATTTATTTGTAAGGCCTATTTGAAGAAAAACCTTCTCAATATCTGCAATAAAAGAAAATCTTTTCGAACGAAATCGTAGTAAAGTTCCAAAAAGTGATGTAGTCAAACTAGGACCCGAATATAAACATTCATTAAGTGATGCTCCATAAGATTTTGCACTAGCATCAAATACCATTCGAACTTTAGTTGTAATTTTATCATCACGTTCCACCGGTCTGTGAGGCAAATAATGTACATTTTCAGCATTTAAATCATCAACTGAAACTTTTTCAATGATAATTTGAGATAATTGATATTTAGTAATATTATTATATGAATTGAATAAATCAATATCTTTTAAAATTCGTTTTTTCAGAGAATTTACTCAACTTATACATAAAGAATAGTTATCAGGTAATACAAATTCATCACCCCTAAATGGTAAATCAACCATATAACGACCCAAACCTTTATCAAATCAAGTGGATTCTTTAAAATTATATAATACTAAATCATTTTCTTTACAACTATCCTTATAACCCCACATTTCTTTTAAAGAAGATTTCAAAACAATATCATCCTCAACAAAATTAGATTGAACCTTTAAAACGTGCACCGTGTTCACACAAAAACTATTTCCTTTCTTTTTACCTGAACAACCATTTAACACATAACCACCAAGATTAAACTTTAGAGCAACAGGTCCAGAATTACCCTTAACGACTGTATCACCAAAGAATTTCCAATAAAAATCAGCTCCAACCAGAATATCAACACTTACTGGACTATCACTTACTGGACTATCTATACTACTTACTACCTATATCACTTACTATCTTTATCACTTACTGGACTACTATATCAGCTAACTATATCAGCTAATGCTAGACCCTTTAAATGATTATAATTTCTAACAGAAAAATCTATATTTTGGCCATTAATGGTGGCACATATGTCTTTGACAAAACAAAAAATTAAATCAAAACAACCATTAGTATCCTTAACAGTAAATTGAACCCTTTCCAGCACTTCTGTTTCACTCTGATTTCCAAAAGTATTAATAACGATTCTCTTCGAGTCTAACGTTTTTAAATTAAGTTTACTTCGCAATGATGGTAAGATGTAACTAAGTTGTGAGCAGCTATTGAGCAATATACGAGCAGGTTGATTGATATTATTAGCGGTTACATTGACTCTGACTGTTTGCAATAAGACTGAGTTATTACACTTTAATAGTGAAGCTAATGAAGACGAATAATTTTCTTGTATATCTATTTTCTTATTTGCTATTTTATTAATGCACATTGCAGCATGATGAAAATTGGAACAGTAGAAACACTTCATTATCGTATTGTAATCCTTTGAGAGATGTCTAATCTTTAGACACTTAAAACATCTCCTTTTGTTCTTTAAGATTTTTCTTTTGTCCTCTAGACTTATAATTGTCATACATTCTTGAGATTTGTGATTTTAATCACAAAAAATACATTTTAATTAGTCATTAAAATTTTTAAACTTATTTTGTGGTTTCATATTTCCACTTGAATATAATGTTTCCGAAGTAAAGTGCTGAACTTCATCTTTACTAAGTTGACTTCCTTCACGAGCTTGAATTTCCTTTTTTAAAATGCTCAAAACAGTCTTCATACTCCAGCAATCATCAACATTAACAAATTCTTTTCATATAAGTAAAGCGAGATCTTCAGAAAGTTTTTGCATTAGTACTGGTATTAGAAGAGGTCCATATTGCCTAGAATCTACTCCTAAATTTTCTAAACTTCTGACCTCGATTTCAATTTTGTCATAAATAGTACGAAGAGCAACTATATTTCTAATGGTATAAACTTTTTCGATCGACAATAATGTTCTCATATGAGAAAATATAATCAATTGTTTGTTATCATACCTTTCTTTTAATAAATTGATTGAAATATTGTAATTATCATTAGTAAGAGCACGTCCTGTTATAGTTGAAAGTGCTTGTCCTTTTAAAAGATTTCTTAGATACGTTAATTTCTGAATAGGACTTAGGTCATCATTACTATCTATAGAACATGTAAAATTTTCATAAAATGTTTGCCATTGTTCAGGTCTACCATCGAATGATTGCAATTTTAAAGATGGGAGTTTTACAAATATATTATTTTTATAAGAGCTATTTACTAAACTATCTGAATTAGACTTATTGTTAATAAATTTATTAATTTCAGATAACTTGACACGATAAAAGATTATAAAGGCAGTGCTACTATCTTCTTCTTCTTGAAGTTCTTCTTCTTCATCAATCAAATTAACAATTTCTTTATCTAAATGTTGAATCTTATTAAATATGTCAACCAGAGTGTCACGAAGACCAGTCAGGGTTTCAATTGAATCATTAAAGGTACTAAAATTATCCTCCCCATTATTTATCTTATCTAAAATACGACTAATAGAATTAATATTAGTTGTACGAACTCTACTTTTAATAACAATGGTAGACATTTTCTTAAAAAAATTTAACCATGTAGGTCCAAACTTGTCTTGGTTTCCTACTTCGCCAAAAACCAGAAGAGAAAAAAATAATAATAATAACAAGATAATCAAGCAATAAAAAAGCCTAATCTATAAATCAATATTAACTTAAATCAAAAATAAACTGTAAACTTAGATGCTAGGAAATTAAACTCTTAAACTTATACATGAATAATGTTTACTTAGCATTTAATAAATCTGGGTACTTCAGTAAGCAAACAATTTCAATTAATCTTAAATAAATTCTATAAAAAACATATATAATAAATAAATATATGTAAAAAACACTTATCCGTTTATATCTTTTGCATCATCGTCGAAAATTCTTCTCTCTCCGTGGGCTCCAATACTGTTATTGTATGAGGGTATGAACACCAACAAAATACAATATATATTTATTGATATAGATATAGCTTTTTCTCGTTATATATTATACATAAAGAAGCGAGCAATGACTATAACTAGCAATTACAAGCGTGCAACTCAACTATTTTTACAGATCGCATGGCGATCACGTGACACAAAGCAGAGCACGTATAAAACTAATAACACGCTATAGGCATTGAGCGCTATCGCAACAAGACCCTTGCTGTCGTTAATAAAGAACCTAATAATGAAAATGAGTATTCTAGATTGTTTTTTATAAAAGGGTCTGAAGGTTGTGGTAAAATATTTACTTGCAATTACTTAATTGCTGAAACACGCAGCAGACAATATTAGATCTGCAACAGCTTTATAAACAGGAATAGCTGCAACTCTTGTTGTTTTATGTTATTTTAATGCTATTTTTCAAAAAACGCACATGTAATGTAAATCTAAGTTCTATTCATGGTGTATTTTTTACACAAGTAAGTTTTTTTTACTAAATGAAGCTATTGATAAGTTATTACAAGATATTTGTAATATTAAGTTTCCTTTTGGTGGTAAGTTATTGTTATGGATGGAGACTTTAGAAAAATACTTCCAGTTGTGAAGAAAATTCGACCTGCAAAAGCTGTAGAATTTTGTATAAAATTTTCTGAACATTAGCATTAAATGTAAAGGTTTTCACTCTCTAGAAATATTTTTTGACAGACTCCCTAGCTCACCTTGACGTCGGTCTCTTTTGTTTAAAAAGATTTTTATTTTCATTACTGAAGCTAATTACTTTTAATCATTTAACAAGTACTTAGAAAAAACTTTTATTATAAATGCATATTGATATTAATTTGATTTAATTTTAGTTTAATTCTTATAAAAACTAACTTTAATTTTAGCTTCTAAATAAACAGTATACAACTTCCTAAAATCCAAAAATTATGTCATTAAAGTGAGTTTTATCTTTTAAACATTTTTAAGCATTTTAGATTTTTTTTTTTTCTACCATAAACTTTAATTACCTATACTGCCTCTTTTTTTGGAAATTCTTGATATCATCAATGATTCAATGATTGTTAATAAATATTGTAATAATAACTACGTAAATAATTCTTTTAGATTAGACTGGCTATTTTGAATTAGAGAACTATTTTAACAAAGGATCAGAAGTTAGGAAGTCTTTAACGTTAAATCAAATATATATTCACAAAAAAAAATGTTGGTTTTTATATTTGTTTATAAAAAATTAAATATTTTTTTCAAAATAGTTAGGTATAACATTTGAGATTTTTGAAAAGTTGAATAAATGTATTTTTTTTCTCGATTTACTTATGCATTGTTATTCTTAACTGGTCTTATAGTATTATAGCTTTAAAAAGTAACAACGATAAAATCAGCTATTATTTTGCCATGTCTTAACTCCCTCTCCCCTCGATTTTTCAGCTTGCAAATATTTGTCACATTCATTAATTCGTATTAAAAATAACTTTAAAGTTTTTTTATTTAAGAGTTTATATAAAAGTTGTTACATAATAAGTAAAATAAATTGAGTTAAGTTATTTGACATACTTACCGTTAGTTCACTTGGTCCATTTTTGCTTTGTAAATCTGATATAGTTTAATGAATGGTTAAAGTTATTTTTTTACTGGAGTCTTTTATAAATGAGGGGCTGTAAGAACTTAATGTTTAGGGCATCTCTTTTTTTTATTCCTCCTAATAGGTGAGACCTAACAAAATATATGTTAAACATATATTAAAACTTTATTATTAAAGGAAGACTCAAAGAAGATCGTAAGATCTTCTTTGAGTCTTCGTTTAAAAAAAGGCACGAAGACTCAAAGAAGATTGTAAGATCTTGTCACTGAGACCCGTTTAATAATGCAGTAAAAATATAACCAGTTAAATAATTACAATAAATGACGTTTAGACACAAAAACAGATATTTAAAAACATAAAATAAAGTTTAACAACATAAAGAAAATAAATATAACTGAATATTTCAAAATAAAACAATATATTCAGGAATCAAACACTTTTTTAAAAGGTATAAACTCAAAAGAACTCATAGATATTATCACTTGACAAAATGATTTTTTTCAGGTTATTTTTAAAATTAATAAAACTCCAACTTTGAGAAAAATCAAAATTTTTCAAAACTATTGTGTTCCCCTAACGTGTTCCACGATATGTTAAAAGAGATCTTCCAAAACTTGTATGGGAATAAAGTTGATGAATAAGATTGTTATTTCTTAAATCATGTTTTTTTTTTGTTTTATTGCATATAAATTTTGAAAGGATATTGGGGTTAGGTTTATTTTACATTTGTACATAAATAGAAGCACATTAAAAACAATTGGCTGGTATATAATAAGAACATTCATTTCCAATAAAAAAGGTCTGGAATGAGTATAACGATCTTTAAAGTTTATTAAACGTGCTATATGCTTCTGTTGCCGATATAAAGGAATTTTTTTAGCACTACCAATACGATATTTGCGTAGTTTATATGGCATTGAATTAGCAAGTGATAAAGTTGAAATAATGAATGTCTATTTACAAAATTTCTGACCCTATACATAACTCAAATATTTTTTGAAACTTTATTGCGTAAAATTTCGATATGGTTTTTACAAGTTAGATTTTCATCAATGGAAACACCAAGGAAATGTACAACTATGATATTTTTATTTGAACATTGTCAATATATATCTGAGGCATATCATTTGTTAAAATTATTTTAGGGATTTTGAATAAAATAAAGTCTATTTTGTTTTTTTCCAAGTTAACTGATAGTTTATTTGACTTAAAACAATTCGAAATTTTAATTAGTTCTAGTTCGTTTCATAAAATAGTGTAATGATATTTTTACTGGATAGAAAAAGATTTCTATCATCAGCAAACATTACTGTCTTCGAGTTTGAGGCATTGTGCAGATCATTAACATAAATAAGAAAAAGTAGTGGCCCTAGAATAGACCCTTGGGGAAAACCACATGTTATATCTAGTAAACTTGTTAAGGGGGATACGTCAATTTGCACAAACTGTTTACGATTGCTTAGATAGCTTTTTAACAAATTCAAAAAATTTCCGCTAATTCTATAGTTTTTAAACTTTTGTATAAGAATCTCTTGATCTATCGTATCAGAGGCTTTTGATAGATCAATGAAAACTCTAAGAGTAAATTGTGATTTCTAAAAAGAATCTGCAATATTACTAGTTGCATGAAGTATGGCGTATTGCGTGAAAAATATTTTAATCCATATTGACTGGCATTTAATATTTTATTTGAACAAAGATGTTCATATATTTTGTTTGGAAAGAATCCTTTCAAAAACCTTTGAAAATCTAGAGAGTACAGATATTGGTCGGTAATTAGTTAATTTTGATAACTCACCACCTTTATATATTGGTGTAGCGATCTTAAGTCGATCAGGAAATATTCCTTGCTTTTTTTACAAAACATAAGCAAGGA